TAATAATTGTTGGTTGAAAAACGGATACTGTTCTTGCTTAGAAGAGGATTAACAATTGAAAACCCCTGGTTGATTCAGAGGAATATCATTCAAAGGTGTCCTCATTTGGTTTCAATACAAAAGCCGAGAATTCTATCCAGATTTGTAAAAGACTACAGAAGTAAAGATTTAACAGCTAGCAATAATGGCATTGTACAGTAGGTTTTTGTAATTTGAAAACACCACAACAATAGATGAAAATATGTATTAACTCTACTTTGGGTACCTGTCTGCTCGTTTTGTAATTTAAAATCCGTTTTGGGCATTTGCAGTTATCAACAGAGTCAAAAAGATAACCACAGTAAAAGTTAGTCAATAAGAGACAATTAGGTCTTTTTTTAACAAAAGATATTAAAATGAGGAGGTGCATGGGGAACATATATTTTCAAATCACCTTGAAAGCAAACTGAGGAGCATGATGTGTGGGTTATTTTGATCTAAATCATGCATGAAAAAAGACAAATGAAGGATTTCAAACCCACACAAACTAAATACAAGTTATCTACCCATTGCTTTGTCAATTACATGTACAGTAACAGTAGAGAGGGTATGAAATATGTCCACTTCCGGTCTGATCTTTGTTTTTTATGAAATTCACCAATCTTTGAGTTAAAAACTCTTCCGGTAATGAAGCCACCGGAAGATGATACAGTATCTCAGGTCTTTGACACGGATATCTATTTTTTATAAGACATTATCTCACTTTTATTAAATTTGAATACTGTAAAAAGAAACACTGACAAAAAACTATGTCAATCTTTCCTCTCTGTCGGAACAATGACAACAAGCTGTTTCTACTTTCATGGCAGAAACTTCAATCCGTGTCCAAATTTACCATCTGCTGATCGTGATTCATACTAATTAATTACGAACTTATTCAATAAAAGAATCCTTAATCCTTATTTAATACCTGTTTTATATTAGCAGTATACAGTAATTTTTGTCTAAAATTCTGCCATCTTCAAAATAATTCTCTTGTTATTTGTAGCCAAATATATTTATTTTATTTGACAAAAAAAAGTAAAAATGTTGTAAATAGCAATTCTTTTTTAACATTAAAAGTTTTAAGTTAACAAGGATTCTAGTTGATCTCCAAAAGTATAAAGTTTTAATAATAAACTTTAGTGTCTCTTTAATATCCTGAAAGGATAATTTTGTTTTAACTGTCAGCAGACCTGTCAAGGGTCTCACTGGCTTGGTTGAAATTTCTTCTGGATTTGCTTGAGATTGGGCATTTTTTGAAAATTATGCTTGAGGTCACAAACCTTAGAAAAAAGAAAACACAGTCAAGCATCAATATAACCTACAAAATTTCGATTTTTAGTGGACATAAGCCCGCATTTTTGGCAGAGTTGCATCGCCTTCCTCCCCACCTTCGATGTCAGACATCTTGCTTTGCGGCATTATGTAAGCTTTTACTCTACTCACTCACAGAGGTACTGTACGGCATCAAACACTGTGACAATTTCTATGGGATCGCCAGCACCGATAGACCTGTTTGTACATGAACACACCAACAAAATTTAATTTGAGAAATTCTGGAAATTCTAGTCTAGCGTAGCAAAGTTAAGTATAATAGAGTACCATGTGAGTGTCGTCACAATGCCAGGTGGCGCCCTCTGTCACCCACCAGACGTTCGTTACCATTAATTACGCCTGACTTCATAGGCTTTCTGGAATAGGCATTTTAAAATCTAATATTTTACCATCAAAATGTACTAAAAACACGAAAGCTCGTATTATATTAGTTATTGAACACACATTTAATCGTCCATTAAAATTTACAAAGAAAAACTAAGATACAACATCTTAATAATTACGTTAGAAATTGGGATCAATTGTTTGTCAGTGGAGAAAATGGCATCTGGTTGAACACAATTTGTAACGATAGCAACAGAGTACAGTAGTATCACACGGTATCGTGACGTAACACTGTAATACTCTACAGTTACTAATAATATGCACTACCAGGTCCATTTGTGATCAGTTTCTTCAAGCAAATCCCCTCTGATAAACATTCCCACCTATTTCAAAAACTATTAAAATGATGATGAAATTCACAATTTATATCCTAGAATAATTCTGCCACCCCACTTCCACCAGTTTTTCCTCTTGACCTCGAACAGAGCGATAGGTACCTCTAGGCTTTCCGCACCCATATTTTTTAAGGATCCTGATTATGCGCCTGACTACTAGTACTCAAATTATGTACATGATAGTAAATATTAATGAGTTTGAGTTCTTTGATTATGACTCATATGAATAAATTCATTTCAAGCTATTCTTGAACAAGCACCTGGTAATTAAGGTCTAGCCACTAAAAGTTTAAAACCACTATAAATCAAAATTACCAATAAATTAAAGAAAATATTACCAAATTACGGTATGAGTCACAATGAAATTCATAGCCACTGATACAAATATTGGCATAATCATAAAATATATATTGTATTGTATGACAATTAATTCCAAATCCTTGATAAAGAAAAAAAAAAACCACCATATTCAGCCTGGACAGTAAGTATTTCACTATTTGTTTGTTTACATCGTAGTGGATTGATGTACTTTCACGAAATCGCGATTATCTTAGCTTAGTTGTGCAAAATTGCGTAAATCTCCAAAAGTTTACTGTTACAGGTCAGAGATTGTGATTAGAATAAAGTGTTTGGTACCATTGTAAAGCTAAGATGTTTATAGCCTGGTTCTCACGAGAGCCCTAGTATCCGGATCGGGAGCTAACCGTTAGCACCTGCGCGAGAATGCCCGATCGGTTAAGCGCTAACCGTTAGCAGTATCCGGATAAAGCTAACGGTTAGCAAGCGCTATCGGTTAGCAGATTGAGCGCGTTTTTATCATTAACCAATCACACGCACGCGTTTACAATTTCCAGTTTCTTATTGGAGTAATTCGATCATCATATTTTTGGTATGCGGATCGGGATTTTCTCGTATGGACGCACGGCAGCTAACGGTTAGCAGGATCCGGATCCTGCTAACCGTTAACAGCCGTGTGAGAACATAGCCTGTAGCTTTTGTAGTATTCATTACGTGTCAATCTGATCACATACGCACTCTCTACGAGCTTCGGAAAGTGTTAAAATTCCCTAAAATGTCTGGCGCTGACTGATACTATTTGTTTAAACCCATGGCGGTCGGTGTGTTAATAGAGAAAACTGAAAAAAAAGTTTATTGGAAGGGTGTTAATTTAAACAAATTCTTTTACCTAGCAATAAATAATTGGCTTCCTTAGTATCATCAGCAATGGAAAGCTGAAAATTGTACATTAGTCCTCTTATGTATGATGAAATCATTAGTGATTAACATAAATATTGGTATGCACCTCAGAATATTATATAAATATAAAAAAAAAACATTTGAAGATTAAAATTTAAAGAGGCTGAGCAAAAATAAACCCCTTGGTTCACCTAAAAGATTTGCCTATTATTATTATTATTATTTATTATTAAACTATAACCTATACTCCATTGTATACTTCTTGGCAGCAAATTTGTAGGCATATCCCATCCCAAACTCCATTTGAGTGCTGGCTTGGCTAGGAAACTTTTATCTTTACATTTATTCTTTTGCATTTCCATACATACTATAGTACACTTGTTTTTACAGCACATGGAAACTTATATTTTATGCTTAAAACCATTAAATACAGTAGGCCTATAACCACCCTGACAATATTTATAGGACTACTGTCAGTAGCATATGGTTTAAGACAGTAATAAATATAGCAGGCATGGTAATTAAATCAAAAGTATACTCCCAAGTGTAATACATATCTAATAATTGATGCTTAAACTGAATCATGGGGATAGAAAGAGACCAATGAGTATTCAATGTGGATTCTTTACTCTGTGGTTGATTACAATCTTGAGTAGAGTAGCAGGCCTGCTGGGTATAGTACATGATACAACATTTAACAAACATTATTATTTATATACAAGATTAAGAGTGTAGACCATTTCGTTCTGATGTGTTAGTTTACATCTGCATATACATAACAAGCAATAATAAAGTATTATTATTATTATTATTATTATTATTATTATTATTATTATTATATAAGAATGTGGTCTATGTTATTTGATATTATATAAATTTGTTTCATATTAAATGATGTTTATATATTTTGAAGGACCAAATGATCAGCTATGTTTTTTTAAAGATTTTTCTCAGCTTAGTTAATAAAAGCTGAGTTAAGATATGAGGCATGAACACATTCTTATAAAACAAAAGAAAATAAAGCTGATTGCTAAGCAAACAAAATTAGGCTTAAACAGTAATCTAAGATTCTAAAGTGACTTCAATGAGATTGAACATTTTAAATTTGATTATGGGAACTTCCTATCTAGTGTGACTGTCATTGGTTTGGAAGAGTGCTTTTCAAATTTCAATTGGGCTGTTCACAATTACTTTTTAGGCAATAATCACCAAATTAAATCTCTGCCCTGAATCAGAATTTGTTAAAAACACCCCTACAATCCCAAACATCGCTTAAGAGCATACATGGTTATTAATCGTGTGAGTTTGGGCAACTAGTTAAGTCTGTAGCAGTAGTAGATATGTGGGATAAATGAATTATTAGGATGGGTTCATAAATAGAGCAACATTAACATGAAGCTTATAAAATCAATAGTAAACTGTCAGCATACTAATTCACTTTCCTGATCTGTAAAGAAAGTGAATTATTTACCAGCTACAGTTCTAACAAATGTGCACAAGATAAATCAACTGACCTACATTAATTTTCCTGCCACCACTACGACTACTAGTACATTACATTTAAAAAACATTATCTCTTCCCATTAACACTAGGCTGGACTACTCTGGAGTCCTGCCAATTATTAAAGGTCACACAAATGGAGGTTGAAGGAAAGGCTAAATTACGTTCCACCTTTCTGTACCAAATTTGAGTAACGTATGGCTACACACCTCTTATAGTTAGCTATGTACAAAACTTGTACAAATTGATAAGAATTAACCACAGAAATATTGAATAATACTTTAATAGACAGACCCCTTTCTAAAATCTAAATTATTCCTAGCAACTACAGTATCTACAGTTTACAAATCATAAATAAGAATTTTACTGAATTATACTTCAAATGATTATTTTACACAAGGTTAAACATAGATAATAAATTCAAACATTTACAGTATTAATAATGCAATGTGTTTGATTTGGAGACAAGATCAATTGAACTAAGGCAATGCACCTCCATACAGACATGGTTGAAATAAATAGTTCTCCTAACAATGGGAAGGATATTGTTAGTGTTTTTTTCCCACCAAATGTTCATATTGTTATCCTTTCATCAATATATTTAAAATGGTTGTCTATTAGTACGGTCTGTAAAGATTACCAGCCAACAATGAATGTAAAATAGCCTACTATATATTTTTTAATTATTCTATTCAAACAAAATTGATGGGGGCGTGATGGTGAATTGGGCTCGATGATTAAGTGGGGGTGCGAGTTTGCAAAATAAGGTAATGAGTTGATTTTTATGTACGTAAGTGTGAATATTTTATGGGGGTGAGTGTCCACACTCCCTAGATAGCCCACATTAAATGGAGCTCTGTATATTATACAAAGGGAAGCAGATACTACAATATACAGCAAGTTTTGCCAGATTGTTATTTTAATAAAGGCTACTTTCTTTCATTGAAGAAAAAGCTTGAAAGAAATAATTGTCAGCTGAAAAAAATGACATAAATCATTAGAAAATGGCAATATAGAAACTGTGTTTCTATCTTACCTTTAACACCACATAGATTCTTCTTTTTTTCTTGTTGATTTTTCTTGGGTAAATTGTGATATATAATATGTGATTTTGTATCCGTTTCATCAGCTTTTTCAAATTGAGATTGGTTTTTTACTGGTTCAACATAAAAGTCTCCTACATTTGTTTTGAATGAGCCAAACTGAAAAATGAATAAATACATATATTATGTAAAAATATATTCTGTTAAAAATTTGATTGATGATTGTTACACACCTTGAAGAAAGGAGGTTAACCATGGAGCTGTTTCATTTGGAGCCCAAAATATGCTAAATCAGTCCATTTATAAGTTTTGGAAGTGGAAAATTTAATTTGGTCAGAACAATGCTTACATTATAGACCTAGATATTGAATTCCATGTTCTAGTATGGTACATCTTAATTTATTACTTTCATTTTAGTAAGTCTTTTTGCATTAACATTGAAACATTTAGATACAGATACAGAAAACTTTATTTCATCCTTCACAGGAAATTCACATGTTTGTGATGGTAACCTAGTTCAAATTTGTACAGTAAGATGAATATTACAAAACTACACAAAAATTAAACTGCTGAAGATAAGGATAACCAAACAACTATCTTTGAAAATTTTCGTTGAGCAATCTGATACCCTTAGGGTTGAAAGAGTAATGATATCGATTTGTGGGTGTAGATGATGACCTGAGTCTCCCACTCAGTTCAATAAAATTAGATACAATTACAGAATGGAGAGGATAAGAAGAGTCTACCATTACTATAGCAAACTTCGCCATCACCCTGTCACATTAAACAGAGTCTACAGAAGGCACCCATTCCCCAATAATTCTTCCAGCCTTATCAACGATACGATTAAGTCTATCCATGTCATCTTTTAGAATATTCCCTCCCAGCACACTGTAAATGTTACTTTTGATGTTCAAGTTTTATTGTTTTAAAGGGGAAGGGGTAAATGTTGCATTTTTTAGGAAGAGAAGAGGGCAGAATGGTACTTAGTAATTTGTAAACAGTATTGTTTTAGAAAATAAGTTAAGTAAGGTTATATTTAGTGGGAGCAGTAACAATTTTTCAAGAAAGGAGGGGAGGAAAGAAGGAATTAATTTAAGCTGTTTTTCGTTGGGCTGGGTTGTTTTAATGTATCTTGTAATTAATTTGTCTTAAGTTTTTTTGTGATTGGAAGATAGATCATAACCACAGATCCAATCCTTTTATCCACCAAAAGTTTATCATACTCAAGTTTTCATTAAAATCAGTCAGATTAAATAAACATCTTAGGAAAAACTTTTCATTATATTTACGTATTATTTCATAATATCACAAGTAGCTAGTACTGTACTCCAACCTACAGCATGTGCAATATTTGTTCACATTCAAAAACTCACACTGACCTAGTACTGTATTGAAACTTAAACTTATCCAGGGAAAATTGGTTGTCAAGGAGATCATTTAAAGCTGACCTTGGAATTCTGTCTCCACTTTGACACAATAAATTGAATCTCCTGCTCTACTCAGTTGATTATCTACTACTATCCTACTACTGTTTACTATAAAAAATAAACATATTATATAATTTATATAAAAACAATCTGTAATCAATTAAAATATTAATTAACAATTATCTTTCAAATTCATCAAGGGTCTTGGATATTACACTTTATATTGCCTAACTTCATTATAAAATTATATAAATTTAATTAACTGTTATGTAATGTTCTTCAATAAGATGTAACAGAATCAAATAACATTGCTATTACTATTAACATTATTTGAGAAATGTATACAATAGTTAGGTCATTAAATAACAATTATAAATTATAAACTATTTTGGCAAAAATTATAACTTGGAAACTTCAAAGTATTGCCCGCCTTTCTTACCAGGGAGGAGTCTGACCGATCTGCCAGCTAATTTTTCTCCAGCTGGATATGATTAAGTACCCCTATCAACCAGGCATCTATCCACAGGCAATTAGGTCAACTTTGAAGCTATTAACAAAGACCTATATCATTAACTTTGCCTTAAAAATTTACTTAAATACTACAGTATTTTTTTTTTTCTTTTAAGCAACCTGACCACTTTTATACTTAAGAAAATGTAATTACATTTTTTCGTATAAATTTTTAGATGAAAATTCTTACCATTCCGTTGCATAAACTCATGACAGCAGCGGAATCGGGATGACTGTTAACATTTCCAGTATAAAAGCAATGATGAGGCGCGTCATTCTGTAACGTATTGTATATATCATCCCCAGTTGAACCTATAGCATCTACGACAAAATTTGAAGCAATAAAAGAATCATCATGGGCTAAAGTTAAATGAAATTGGTGCCCAAAAGCTTCTATTAAATACATAGTTTTATCCGAGTCCCCGAAGAAGGCTGCATCTTCCTCAGGCGTAGGCACACTCCGTTTACGAAAATGGTGTACATTTTTAATTGATTCACGTTTGTGATTGACTCGAATTGGTGTGACAATCTCATACGATTTGTTATCTGTAAGAAAACATAATGATCGTAATGTAATTTCCTATTATTAAAAAGGGTCCACTATACACTCTTAACAAATGTTTAAACATTGGCAACCACAACATAAAAAATGCAGTATGACATCAAATGATGTTAACTAGTTGCTTAAAAAATACATAAAACATCAAATGACATATTAAAGGTCCATGTGAATTGATCATTGGGAGTAATGATCTTGATGGTTCACCTTCATTAAATATGGTTCAATAATAAAAATGTTTAAAAAATTGTGTTATTTATAAACACTCAATGTCCCCATATGTTTTCACCTCTTCCTATCATAGACATTAATTGATACTGTTTTAACCATGGTTAATTGTAAGTAGGGACGATCCAGGATATTTAAAACAGTGGATGGTACTGAGGCAAAAAAATAGTAACCCAATCAAATAACGGCCTAAATGGTATCTAACCCTCATCTATGCATGCCACTGGCAAAATTGGAGCGAAAAGTCCCGGGAAAAGCCGGGTCGTTCAAACTAGGTAACTGCAGTATGAGCATGGATGGGTCTTACCTGATAAGTCTGGTATAGCAGCTCCGTGAGAAAAATAAAAACAGTTCAGCAGCACAATGATAAGGACGGGCAGCAAATAAGAGTCCATGATAAATATTTGATTTAACTAAACGACTGACTAAAGCACATGCTAGTTTTGCTTGATGATCAGCTGGATGAGTCGGCTGTGGGCCAAAGACGAAGGTGGCAAAACTCCAAACAGGGGCTTGTGTATAGCGCAGCCAACTGAACTCATTCATTATAAACTGTGATGGTTCAGTGAGTACGGCATAGCTCCGCCTGCTATATTTCGACCAATCATCTCTCTAGGAAGTTATCGGAAGTAGTACTAAAAGTTGACGACCGGAAGTCGGTGAAGCAGAGAATTGCAGGCGTTATTTGTGGGGCCGTAATGAATGGATACATAATCAGGTGAATGTTAAAATATATTTTTAAAAATAATAATTATGTGACACGTTGTAGACCACGATGAGTTGAATTTCGACATCTAATGTCTCTCTGCCTCACGTTCTAGACATTTTTATACTTTATCCAATCGATTCAGATCATGGTGTAATCGAGAGCAATCCGACAGTGAGCTCATGCCTAGACGTACTTTTTTTTAAACAAGATTCGCCAATGCCTACAAATTTAATTGACAATTCAATTAATTTCAATTTAACTATTTCGGATTTTTTTCATTCTATATAGGCCTATGTCAACATCAAACTAAAAAGCAACTTAAGTAAGCCTACATCGGTGCCATATTAAAAGATATACGGACTGCCTGTGAGACAAAAGTTGAAGAAAGGATCAATGTTATGGTGACAAGAAAATAATACAAAAACTTTTTTTTAAATCCAAATGAGATACATGTAATCATAAAATAGAAACAATAGGCGCCATTGTTAAGGATAAAAGAATCTCTATTGATATGAATTAATGATGCACGTATTACAGATAATTCAATGGCGTATTTACGGGGAAGCGTGTGGAGGCCCACCAGACTGGGAACACGCCCTTCCGCCGGGAAACCTTGCGCCCTTCCCCTCCTGCTATTCATTCCCTAATTTAAAAAAAAATAAATATACACTCAGATATTTAAAAATCACATAAATTCACCACCATTTTAGCTTTTTCCACTTGGCCTGGGCCCCAAAACGTAAACTTGGCCAGCAGTACCGTCCCCTTTCCTTCGGGGAAAAAATTAAAGAGAGGCGAACCACGTTTCGGATAATGAAGAATTTGCTACAAGAGTTATTAATCACAGTAAAGTTATACCGTCCTTTTATATCATGTCGACTGTTGCTCAATACGTTTGTTAGCTTAGGCCTATTACTTTTACATTTTCTCTGTTATATTAGCTATTGTCTTTAGTATATTTAGGTGTGTGTTTTTTCAGTATTTTTAAATTTTAACCTCCGTTTTTATTATGTATGTTTGTATTTATTGAAATGAAAATGTTCCGCCAGAAATCTCCTTTTTTGGACAATAAAGAAATTTTTAATCTTGAATCTTGAAAACAAAAATATAACAAAAAATAAAACAAAAGTATTCTTCACGTCTATAAATATATGTAAGGCTAAATAAACCTTTAATAAAATACCCAATTTTCCTGCATCAATTTAGTCATAATCTACGACATAATTGACTAAATATGGCCAACGTTTCAAGTTCTCATTTAAAATTATGGCGGCGTTGATTCTTTTAACAAGTAAACAAAATGGTTTTTCATGCCATAGTGTAAATGTAAAAATAAATTGTGTCAATGATGTGCAGCCTACACATACTTACGTGATATTTTCTCTTTCTAAAAAAAAATCAAACTAGAATATCGGAATGTTGTGTTAAACCTAAATGTAAGGGAATTAATACGAATCCAACAACAGCACGCGCAGTATTATAGCCCAGGGTAATGC